TTTTCTTGGTGAATGGAAACTGCAACTATTCAGCTGAAAACTCTGAAAGAAAGGTCAGCGTGACTGCAGACCCATCAGTCGCTAACAGAAAACTCCTCTTCTCAGAGTTTACGAGCCAAGAAGCTTCATTTCAGCAGCATAGCAAAGCAGTGCTGAGCCGTTCTCAGTGACCTGAACATCTAATCATTTGACGGAGGTACACTTGAACGAAAAGCAATTTGTCACGAACCAAAGAGTCTGGGTGTCTAGAGGGCAGTTATTAAATCTTGAGCCACGTTCGGGTCAGACATCTGATCTCATGATGTCGACATTTTTTTTACATAATTACCTCGTTGACAGAAAGTTTAGATGAGAATTATTAATTAAAAGTCTTTGTTGTAAAAAAAACCTGTAGTCTGGCAAATCCAGTCGATGCTTTTCCGCACATCGGCGAAGAGCATCCACTTAACTGAAATGTAGAAGTATATATGTAAGAAGCTATTGTGACTCTCCATAAAATTACGCGGTTTAGACAAGGAGTCTGCTTACTGCAGACTGCAAGACGACCTCATTTCCGACCTCACTACAACAAATATACCCATACGTCTAGGTATGGGTATATATCTGGTCTGAAAGAGTCGTTGATGCAACTTTAATTACGTGTTCCCAAGACGATACAGCACATACTAGCAGTGGATCTCTGCCCTGCGGCTCCTAGACGAATCTATCCAAGGACAAGACCGTCAGTGCGGGTGTACTGCCTGTTCCTCGACGACTGAATCGACAAATGGATGGTAACACACCCAATGAAGGAGAACAGTCACTAGCGTCGTCTGCTAAACATCAGTATTCAATGATATAGTTCTCCTTATTAGATACCCCGTTCAGAAACTTCAAAGGTCAGAGGGTGCAGTTGTCGGCCGTGATAAAGGAGGAACGACTGTTCAGTCAGTGCTCTGCATGAATTGAATGTGGTCATCCGCAAGGTGGCACAATTCCACTCTGCATCCTTGCGATAACTGCTGAGTGTCACCACTCGGTTATCCTGAAAAAGGTGGCGAAGGTCGGAATCTTCTCTCTCTCTCACCGAATCTTCATTTCACGGCAATTTATGTCCAATACAGTCCTTACCGCTGAGATTGATGAGACATGTCAACAAGGATGGGTTTGGCGTGGTGTCTGCCCATTTTTCTCTTTCCCGGAAAACAAGACTGGATTATCAGGTTGCTTCAACAACTGGTGGAGAACAAGCTGGCGACGCGCAGCTCCACTGCCCGTGGAAGAATGAGAACAGATAAAGAGGCGCGAGAGCATAGTGGCATTTTCAGAAACGGGAAACAGGCTATCAAGGGATTACTGGGCGCTCATGAGCTTGAAACTCGAACTTCAAGCGCTTTGTTTGCCAGATTCAAAGTTTCAGATGTGGAGAGCCCCTGCGCTTGTCTAGCTGTAGTCACCATGCCCACTCAAGAAGCCCTTAGTGTACCGCGAACCGTGCGTTGTGAGAACTCCCTCCCCGCAGTTATACTTCTCTTCACATTTCTAGTGTCACAACTCTCCTTCTAGACCACTGTCCTTTCCCTTTTCGTGGTACCCTACGAAATCAAAACAGTAGAAAACATACCTGGATGGTTACAGTCGTAAGGTCCAAAAAGACCACCTGTTGTAAGACCGACTACAACATATCGCCCTTCCCCATCGAGCTGGAATAGGGGCCCACCACTATCTCCCTAAAAATGGCATGTCTTTCAAAGCTCTCAACTAATCCCAGACACCGGAATTTTCATTAAAAGCCGTCAACTCTGTTCATAGAAAAAAGCATGAACTTCGCTAGGAAAGCGAACTATGACTGACGAGAAAACCTTGGAAAATGCCAAGAAAGGCAGTCAAGTTGTTCGCTATCAATCATGGCAGTGTTCTCGGAAAAGTACACCGTACGGAAATGAACCCGGCAAACGAAGGAATATAATTAGGTTGTCCGGAAAGTTCTCAGCGTTTTGGTGTTTCACTTTAAACGATCATAACTTTCTTAATACTCATCGGATTCAATCGAAATAAGCACCGTTCGAATCAGCACACTTTTGTTGTATGTTCCAGCAAGGAAGTTCTGAAAATGTTTGAAAAGGTGATAGTCGGTTGGTGAAAGGTCTGGAGAATATGGCGGGTGAGGTAGAACTTCAACCCCAATTCGTTCAATTTATGGATAGTGATTTGTGAAACGTGTGGGCGGGCGTTGTCATGCAAAAGAATCGGACCCTTTCTGTTGACAAGTGCTGGCTGCAGCTGACGCAATTTTCGGTACATTTCGTCGATTTCTTCACAGTAGGACTCTGCTGTGATGGTTTGGCCTGGTGACAAAAAGTTATAGTGGATCACACCAGCCGATGACCACCACACTGTGACCATAATCTTTTTTCGTGAGGATTCGGCTTTGGAAATTGCCTCGGTGGTTCGTCGGCATCCAACCACTGTCCGGAACGTCTCCTGTTATCATACATGATCCACTTTTCATCACAGGTGACAATTCGGTCTGAAAAACGGGTTGTTACTGTTGCGTGAAAACGGCTTAATACCGTTGCGCAAAAGCAGTGAAGAAGAAACCTCGAAACGTGCCAATTTCTGCCGGTCACTCAAATTGTGGGGCACCCACTTGTCGAGTTTTTTCACCTTCCCAATGCGTTTCAGACCATCCGCAACAGTGGATTTGCCAACGCCTAGCTTTTCTGCAATCTCTCGAACTGTTTGGGATGGGTCAGCCTCCAAAAACGCCTTCAAATCCTCGTCAGGTATTGCTTTAGGTCGACCGCTACGAGGTTCATCTTCAAGGCTGAAATCTCCAGAACGAAATTTGTCGAACCATTGTCGCACGGTGCTTTCTCCAACACTATTGGGCCCCCACACCTGGTTAATTTGTCGAGCTGTCTCGACTGCGGATTGACCCAATTTGTAGTCGAAGAAAAATATCGTCCGAAGTTGCTCTTTTGACATGCTTCAAAAAGTCTTGGGAAAAGGGGGTTTATCAAGCAATGGTGAAACGGCAATTATACCATCAGATAGCGCAAAAAATTCTCTTCAGGATGTACTACTGAGACGCAAGGGAGAATGAGTTTAATCAGCAATGAATGTACAAAAAATAGTAACACAAAACGCTGAGAACTTTCCGGAAAACCTAATATTTTAGCCGTTGCCATTATGTCGTTGCTGATTTTTCTTATGAATAAGACGTACAGGTGACCACGGTGCTACTTTCGCTCCGTCTATGATAGCGAAACTGGCCGATCGTGCAGCTTTCTGAGTGTCTGTGGCGTAATTTGACCTCGGCTGGACTAAATTGCTAGTTGGAGTGTTGGGTGTAGGCGTCCTTATGTAAAACGCTTTGTTGCAGCGCCAGAATTCTTACACCAACGCTGTCCTGCTTGTAGTGGCAATGAGTGGCAGAAACAAGCTAGCGCGATCCCAAAACGTATGTAAGCCGGGACGCCTCTACATGATACACCGAAAGCAACTGTAGAAGGAAATTCAGCTCTCAATCCTTCTTGCTCGTGGGAAAAGTTAACCTCGCCCGCGCGGAGTGCGTCTCTGAAGATAGAGACTCATAGCCATAGTGGCACATAACTGACACAGATTCTGCTGGACCTTCTTTCTACTGCAGACCATGGTTATATGTGTGATTCAATCCGTAATGTGCTAGCATATCGCCATGAATGAGCGTTAAAGGGACTCACCGGACATGTAGAAGTGGTATTGCTTTGCCCCAGAAGCAAGTGACGGTTGTCTTCCTTGATAAGTGGTATTATAGCAACTTTGTATCCGGGATGTTCCCTCCCTTAAAGACTGTTTTTTTTTCTGGTATCAAATATAGATTCGCATACGAAAGCACATTTAAAATTCGAAAGAATTAAGCAGGATCGAGGAAGTTTGGCCACTGGGCGCTAGCTGAGCGTTTTCGGGCTGTTTACCATCACCGCTCTGGTGGAATTCCCACCACAACGGTCTTAATTAGAATACTGCTTCTTCCTCGGCGATTCCGGAAGAAGATGGAACTAAACTCATTGGGGCTGAGATTTCAAGAACATATATCGATACGAGCTTGACGCAGGTTTCTCTAGTGCACAGCCTGGATAGATGGCGGTTCTAGAGTGGGCCGCTGCGAGGGTGGGCGCGGCTTGCGACACCGCCAGTCATGGCGTACGAGCTGCGCTGTCTCGAGGTTTCGTTAAAATATTGAAGAAATTCTTTCATTCTACACTAAAGAACACGCTGTGGATAAGAGCAGATCCTCTGCACTAAAAACAATACGTGTGTGGTATGGTAGGATGGGATGAACCGTCTCCCGCTCAAATTCAAGGAGAAATTGGTGACTCTCGTCTGACCCAAACCTCAGAAACTTACAATAATTTCCGATTGGTAAACTGCAGTGAAAGAAGAGGGACGTTGAAGGAAAAAAGAATAAATATGCAACTTACAATTTTCCCATCCACTTCCCGCAGCTTGAAGTTCTTTTGCTAAGGCAAGTTTACTGTGTGGTAAGCAAATTGGGATGGCATCCTTGCTGCTTACTTCTTTGCTAAGCTCGAGGATAGCAAGGTCGTGTTGGGTGAGCGGGAATTCATCGTTCTTCCCTTTCACGCACCACTTCCATTTTTTGTCGACAAAAACCTGATGAAGAGATAAGAAGGGGCATCATGGAAAACAAGTGTTTACCTTTTTCAAAATTGATTTTTAGCAACGCCAAACCTTAGAAACTGGGTGTGTAATTTTACATTTTTCAGGGGGGATTGCAACGGGTGCCGACATATACGATGAAATCTTTTGGCTTGACTTCCGATGGCACGTAATTCTTCAGCTTTCCCATGCATTCATATCTCTTCTTGTCTTCGTCGAAGTTCGTCGCACAATGTGCGGCCGTAAGAACGTGACGTGGGGAAATTAGGAACCCACTGCACGGCTCTATATATCTTGTATCTGAAAACTAAATAATAGACTATTCACACACGATGTGGTCGAGCGAAACCCCTCACATGTTAGATTTTTGGGAACACGTAGCCTGGCCATCCAAGGGTACTCGCCTGCTTTCACGAAACGCCCTCCAAATATTTTATATCTTGAGGAAGATCCTGAAAATTGAGTACCTCTTTTTCTGACTTCATAAGATCACATAGATTGGCCGAATAGAAGTTGCGAACACTGAGTTGCAGTGGGATTCACGCCCTGTTTCTCCAATCGTTTCATCTTCTACACTTTCCACTAGGAGACATGTAAGAAATTCTAGATCAAATCTTCGCTTCCGGCGCAGAATGGCAAAAAGATTTGTTTTGACACAGACTTTGCCACATTGTAGAAATTTGACATTATTTTTATATACATGTTGTCTAAAAGGTTCGTTATATCTTCGAACTTTTTTCGAGTGAAATTTTAAGCAGTGTACAACTATATATGTACAGGGGAGCAAAAAAAATAGACATTATCTCTCTTGACTTTCAAGGCGCTATAAGTTACACTTTATTGAATTCTGATCGGACATTTCCACCACCATATTCAACAGCATATTGTATACTATCATGATGCTCCGCCACAGCCTTCTGGACGAGCGCCATCGAGAGATTCTGCCACGCGACCGTGATTCGGTATCTGAGTTCAGCGAGATCATTGAATTCTTTCCGCGGCACTATTGAACTATGTACTATTCCTACCCCAAAAATAAGAATTTTTCGCTGAAACGTTGCCTGTAGATGTAATTCGATGCGCTGATCACGAATATCACATCCGTTTCGAGCGCTGGCGTCATTTGGCGCCATTATGCGCCAATTTGGCGCCCACCACTTTTTTTTCACCAAAGTCGATGAAAACTTGCATATGGGGTTAATCGACATCACGATATCACATTGGTTTCAACCGCTGGTGCCATTTGGCGCCATTATGCGCCAATATGGCGCCAAATTGGCGCGTAATGGCGCCAAATGACGCCAGCGCTCGAAACGGATGTGATATTCGTGATCAGCGCATCGAATTACATCTATAGGCAACGTTTCAGCAAAAATTTTTTTTAGTTTTTTGGGAGGGAATAGTTCGATAGTGCCGTTTAGGTACTCAACGCCCTTCCATTCCCAAAAGGTCAGAGTTTTCCAACGTTCCTCGATTTCATGAGGAGGTACCCCAATCCTGTAGCAGTACGAAGTCTTCCAAGAAGGTACAGGCGAAGACATGAAGGCAGGATATTCTCCACGAGTTGGTCGTCGATATAACCTTCTGCGCTCGATTTCATTCGAGGTAGATCAAGAGTACCGGTCCCCAAGTAGCTATCTATGGGTGACTCCATTCAAGGGGGTGACTACATTCAAGGGGTTTTCCAGCTGTTTGAAGATGACGTGAGTTTGAGAGGTCTTTCCCAGTCAGATTGCGACTGGGGATGACTTCATTTTTGGTGCAAATGGAAGAAAGGAGCGAGAGCCTGCTCCCGTTCATAGAGGAACATCTTGGGTATCTTCCGCCCTGGTACTCGTATCCACGTTCTCTGCCTGGGCTGCGAAAACTTCGCTGATATGTGACTCGGGCGAAGTGTCGCCCCGCCTTCATCGGCAAATTCTAGCTACCACCGACCGAAGTGTGATTTCGTTGCTTCAGCGAGCTTCTCAGTTCCGTGTCGAAAAAAGGCAGCCGGGTCATTTTTAGATGCTTTTTAAAATCTATTTTTTTACCTAGGAAGTGGTCGTAGGGGAGGGGGGGGAGATGTGGTTTGGATGGCAGTCAGAAAGAGCTGATAGGGCTACACGAAGACTGTGGTGGAAACCACCAGCTAAGCTTCAAAATTTCGAGCGTCATTTTGTATGGCACTGAGCTATGGTTGAGTAGGCAAATTTGCTGGGTTGTGGGACCAGATGATGAAGATTTTCATTCTCCCTCTGCAGTTAATCACGAGAGAACTGGCTGGCTACTACAGCGTTGAGAGTAAGAAACTCGCTGCAGTAAAAACCCACGAATGGTTCGCTACGAGCACAGTACCACCATTACTGTAATAATGAGATTGCACGACCGGTACGGCTCTCCCTGGGGAATCTAGGCACTGGCGCTCCCGGGAGTGGTTCACCCAGGGACACCTACTTCTTATCTAGTCACAGTTGGTTCAACCAGTCTGTGTGGCGAGAGCGGGAGAGAAGTTGTAGACAGTACCCACAAAAGCGAACTTCAACACTTTTCCAAGGGATCGAGATCCTACGTCGTTTGTGCTTTTGGAGCAGTCAAGTGTATGGACTAGATAGCGAGTTGATTCATACCAACTAGCTCCATTGAAGGGACGCAGTTAGACCAAATCTAAAGCAGGCAGCCTTTATGGACGAGGTTCTTCTCCCAACAAGAAGTCACTTGAAGACACGTGGTAACGCAAGTCTGGGTGGGCGTGACTATCGGCCCCCCAGGTGCCGAAACGTAGCGGTTTCCCCGTCCTAACATACGCAGGAATGGAGATACAGGACCGTGAAACACGCTAATTCCTCCTCCCAACACCTTTTGCGGATGTTACCATTCATGGTAACAGCCGTCGTAAGCGCGCGGGTCGCGCGCAGCTCTCTTGGCACTTTGCCAAGTCCTGTTAATTGCGCTTTGGAATACAAGTAAAACGCAATTTCCTGATGCGGATAACATTTTAGGTGCTGCAAAATAAGAACCGAAGATGATGACGAGGGCCAGAACTCAAGAGCAACTGTGCTGCTTCTGCAACATCCCTCAGAGGCCGCGCATTCCCACAAAACATGAAAATAAAAACGGCCTAAGCGTCCCACTCGTTAGTTCAAAGTATTCTATGGCTTTGGAGCCGGAATCGCGCCGAATCGCAGAATTTACACGCGATTCAATTAATTTGCATTTCCTTAATTTTTTCATTTTTTTTTGTTTTATTTACATCTACATTCGTTGTTCTTCATTTCTAGCCTTTGTCATCTTCATCACCTTCTATTCGGACTTTGAAGCATGAGCAACACCTCAAATGTTATTCGCATCAGGAAATTGCGTTTTGCTTGCATTAAACTAACGAGTGGGCCATTTTTATTAGGTTGTCCGGAAAGTTCTCAGCGTTTTGTGCACCTATTTTTTGTACATTCACTGCTGATTAAAAACTCATTCTGCCTTGCTTCTCAGTAGCACATCCTGTAGAGAATTTCTTGCGCTATCTGATGGTATAATTGCCGTTTCACCATTGCTTGATAAACCCCCTTTTTTCAAGATTTTTTCAAGCATGTGAAAAGAGCACTTCGGACGATTTTTTTCTTCGACTATAAATTGGGGCAATCCGCAATCGAAACAGCTCAACAAATTAACCAGGTGTGGGGGCCCAATAGTGCTAGAGAAAGCACTGTGCGGCAATGGCTCAACAAATTTCGTTCTGGAGATTTCAGCCTTGAAGATGAACCTCATAGCGGTCGACCTAAAGCAATATCTGACGAGGATTTTAGGGGGATTTTGGAGGCTGACCCATCCCAAACAGTTCGAGAGATAGCAGAAGAGCTAGGCCTTGGCAAATCCACTGTTGCAGATGGTCTGGAACGCATTGGGAAGGTGAAAAAACTCGACAATTGGGTGCCCCACAATCGGAGTGACCGGCAGGAATCGGCACGTCTCGAGGTTCCTTCTGCATTGCTTTTGCGCAGCAGAAACGACCTGTTTTTGGGCCGAATTGTCACCTGTGATGAAAAATGGGTCATGTATGATAACAGGAGACGTTCCGGACAGTGGTTGGATTTCGACGAACCACCGAGGTAATTTTCAAAGCCGAACCCTCACGAAAAAAGATTCTGGTCACGGCTTGGTGGTCATCGGCTGGTGTGATCCACTATAACTTTTTATCACCAGGCCAAACCATCACAGCAGAACCCTACTGTGAAGAAATCGACGAATTGTACCGAAAATTTTGTCAGATGCAGCCAACACTTATCAAAAGAAAGGGTCCGATTCCTTTGCATGACAACGCCCGCCCACACGTTTCACAAATCACTAAATTGAACGAATTGGGGGTTGAAGTTCTACCTCAACCGCCATATTCTTCAGACCTTTCGCCAACCGACTATCACCTTTTCAAACATTTTCAGAACTCCCTTGCTGGAAAATACTTCATCAATCAGGACCAGGCAAAAAAGCCTTAGTGGATTTCGTGAATTTTCGACCACCCAGTTTTTTACTTTGATGGGATTTCTCGACTGCTGTCACATTGGCAAAAGTGTGCTGATTCGAATGGTGCCTATTTCGATTAAATCCGATGAGTATTAAAAAAGTTACGATCGTTTAAAGTGAAACACCCAAAACGCTGAGAACTTTCCGGACAACCTAATATTTTCATGTTCTGTGGGGAAGCGCTGCCTCTGAGGGATGTTGCAGAAGCAGCACAATTGCTACTGAGTTCTGGCCCTCGTCATTCCCTCGTCATTCAGGCCCTTCGGTTCTTATTTTGCAGCAGCTGGAATGCTACATGTATCAGAAAATTGCGTTTTACTTGTATTCCAAAGCGCAATTACAGGACTTGGCAAAGTGCCAAGAGAGCTGCACGCGACCCGCGCGCAAGGACGGCTGTTAGCATGAACGGGAGTTTGCGCCGCAAAAGGCATTGGGCGGAGCATGGAGGAATTAGCGTGTTTCACGGTCCTGTATCTCCATTCCTGCGCATGGACGGGGAAACCGCTACGCTTCGACAGCTGGGGGCTGATAGTCACGCACACCCAAACTATGTGTGATCGTACCATGTGTCTTTGGGCGAATACTATCGAGGCATCAGGACCTAAGTGAGAGCAAGTGCCGCTATATGAACCTCCGACCACGTTAGACCTGGTGGAGGTTCATATAGCCAAGCGTTACGGAGGTTATGAGTTTCATCTATTGTTTTGGACATGACAACAGCGGCTGCGAGAAAGGTACAGCAAGTATGGAATAACTATTTAACACACTTCCCATAGACCATATGACTGAACTTCGGAAAGATATAATGCGAGAATCAGAAAAAAAATTTCGCAACCTGACTGCCTCCACTGCTGAACACAATCGGGCGCTGTTAGGAATACAGGGACATTTGCACGCCTGCAAGTTCTTTTTTGCTAACTCCTGCTAACCATAGATTTTTTGATAGTAAATGGAGCTCAAGCCAATTCATAGCTTCAGTGGAATTGCCACGTCACCACACGCATCGGCAATGATCGACGGAAAGCAGAACAATGCCGACCTGCACCATATGTTGCTTTTTTCCTGTGCCATTTTTCCTGTTTTCCTGTACTATGTTGATACCGTTGATACCGAGATTCTGCAGCGGACGCGAGAGGTCGCACGCAAGCAGCGTAAGGCCACGGTTAGACGTGTGGATAACTGTGCGGTGGCGCGTACGTAGCCCAAATGACGGCCTGATATCATTATACTCCACTTACGTTCGGGTCTGGGGCACAGCAAATGCTGTTGAGTGCAAAGAATGGCCTCCTACTCCGGCTGCGGACGCAATTGTCTTGCACATGGGAAAGAACCATTCTCAGAGGTTGATATACAATTTGCCTTATGAAGCGAATGCCTCTCACGTAGAGAACTGATACATTTTGCATGAAACACTTACCCAGGTTGCCCACACCGCAGCTTTTTCGCAGGAGTTCATTTTCTTTTGGTGAAAGACGGTAGCAGTTTGCCGTCACAAACAGTAGCAGTGTAGTGGAAAATATCATCTGGAAATGAGAAGATTTCAAGGAGTTTATCATTCCAGGAAGATAAAAAAATAAAGTCTCGTTCAGAATGGAACATGGAATTCCGATGTCGCGATGTCTGAATGCTTTCTTTAGAAACTCGCTATGAAAGTGGGGTAGAATAAGTTTGTTCGAGTGAGCATTTCTTCGTGACGTTTCCAGATCGAGGAAATAAAGTACTTTGGAAAAAAATAAGTGTGCAGGTAATAGAATGTGCGAATGCCAATGGTTGTCAAATGCCCGTAAAACCTTGGAGCTTGGGCAACTTCCCAACTGTCCTACGCTCCGGGCCATCTCCTAAGCTTGCGGCTCACAACTGAAAAGCACACATTAACAAACAGAATTTCTGTTTTTACTGGCAAGCATGATGTGATTTAGCTGCAGTGAAAGGCTCATCGAATTCATCATTCCTACAAAATGATAGTGTTCACTAATGGCAGTCCATTTTCATGAAGAACACGTTTAATTTAGGCGTTATGGAGGAGATAGAACCTTTTAGACTGTTCCCATTCTAATTCTGCATTCCCACGTAAGCTGGAATTCAGCAATGGCAGTCACTTTCAGTAATAGCACTTTCGTGCCAAGCTTAGCGGGGGAAAGCTCATTTTAAGAGCCCAATCACGGGATAGTTTGTGACTCGAAACTCTAGCCCTTCATCCTCCAACTTCGCTGCGATGCGAAGAGGCGGGTCGCTCACCACAGGATCGGTCCGGGAATCATTCAGCGGACTGGATCACGCTAACGCCAACCAAATCTCCTATCCTTCGGGAACGGGTATTCGATAACAAATTCGTCTGGTGGGAGGAAAAACTGAAGTGAACATCGGCTTAGCCCGGAATGTCTATTTACTGCCTCTACAATCCCGCAAAAAACAAAATAATTTATATGTAAACAGGCATTTCTTCAAGGCTCCCATAACCTGTTGCGCAGCAATCCTCCTTGCTACTGCGCCCCCCTGCTAGGTTCCCTCCCACCTCTTTTCTTTCCATGTCAACCTTTCCAGTCACTGAAAATAGGATATCACATTTAGTCTTGGGGGAGGCAACAGATGGTAATCATTAGAATTTGAACAAGCGACCTTGTGAAGAGTCATGTTTTTTCCCAGTGTTGATTACTTGTACCAACCGCAACGCAAGAATCTACAAGTTCCACCAAAATGAGACTCTAATTCAATAAGGTATAGAGTAAATTGATTGTTTTCTTCAAGAATTTCTTCAACAAATAAATGATGCCCAGGTTGGAGGAGAAACCCCATAAGCGGTATTGGAATGATTGAGTTCTCAGGATGAAAAAAGGCTGAGTAGGGAGTGTGCCCTTCCCGTGTTCCTGATAAAGAAAGAAGGATGCTGAGGACGAAAACCATAGTGAAAATGTGATTTCATGAGATACAAGGCGCAGTCATCAGCATGCTCGCAGGAACGCACGCGAAACATTTCGTAACGCAGTAGCTCCATTTCCAGTGGTTTTTGGATACTGTGACTTTCTAGTCGGTTTCCAAATCTCTCTTGCTCTATATATACCATTTTCACTTTAAATTCACCACTTTTCAAACCAAATTCACCACTTTTCAAACCAAATTCACCACTTTTCAAACCAAATTCACCACTCTTTTTAGACCGGGCAGTTCACCACCAGATCACGCCAGACACCACTGCGAACCCTGCCTCGACGGTCACGCCTACTTGTCAGCGCGGACATAGATTTTCAACACATGGCCGACTCCGCCCAGTCTTTAAAGGGTTTGTTGCGAACTTCGAAATTTCATAACTTTTTCAACTTTTTAATTTCACATCCACTCTTTGCACAACGAAGATACTCGTAACCGCGCATTCATGCTCCGGCAATTCAGGCTCCGCCCCCTTGACCACGCCCACTTTTCAAAAATGGCGCAGATCGGCAGTATAGAGCCTTGGCTTGCATGCTAGGGCCTCGTCCGTCACTCGGAACAAACTTTGCCTGATTAATTTGTTCCGAGTGACGGACGAGGCCCTAGCATGCAAGCCAAGGCTCTATACTGCCGATCTGCACCATTTTTGAAAAGTGGGCGGGGCTTCTTCAAAGTGGGCGGAGCCTCTCTCAGTGGGCGGGGCTTCGTGGAGCAGTCCAAAAATGCAAAAATTTTGAAAAATATCAAAATTCCGCAAAAAGCAAGTGGGCGTGGCCAAAGGGGCGGAGCCTGAATTGCCGGTGCATGAATGCGCGTCTACGAGTACCTTCGTTGTGCGAAGAGTGGATGTGAAATTAAAAATTGAAAAAGTTATGAAGATTTGAAGTTCGCAACAAACTTTAAAGAATGGGCGGAGTCAGTCATGTGTTGAAAATCTATGTCCGCGCTGACAAGTAGGCGTGACCGTCGGGGCAGGGTTCGCAGTGGTGTCTGGCGTGATCTGGTGGGTGAACTGCCCGGTCTAAAAAGAGTGGTGAATTTGGTTTGAAAAGTGGTGAATTTGCTTTGAAAAGTGGTGAATTTGCTTTGAAAAGTGGTGAATTTAAAGTGAAAATGGTATAGATCATTCACGCAGATAAAAGCAAATAAAAATTATGCGGAAGGGAAGCCAATGAACATCTGCGACGTTCACAGCCAAGGGAGAGCGCCATAAAGACGGGTTAACCTAAAAAACGGACAAGTATGGAGCCATCGCCGTGGAACGATTCCGCTTGAGATGTAGCACGTAATCTGCGTCCGTACAGAGTGATACTAGCTTCTTGGACGCAATTTGCTATGCACAATTTAAGTGTTTTAGCCTCCCAGGGCTGGTAAGAATTTTCTTCCAAGGGGTGAAGGGAGGCGGGTTGGTTGGCCAGAGCGGGATCCAGTACCGCCGTCTCCAGATCGATTGGCTTACCGTTAATGTGGCAAGCAAGCCCCACCACCTCTTTCTCATGAATGGGTCTTCATCTCAAACAGAATGGGACATCGAGGGTTACTCTTTATGAATTGCAAACCATCCAATGCTTGATTGATAGAGATGTAACTTTCCCTCGCTCCACCAAGCTAATGGTATGTAAAAAAGCGCTATTACGAAAACTGACCGCCCTTGCTGAATTCCTTCTATTGAGTGGGAATGGAAAATTTGAATAAGATTAACACAAAAGTTTCATTGCCTCAACAAATTTAACTAAAACATGTTCTACTAAAAATATACTGCCATTAGTAAATGCAATCGTTCTGTAGGAATAATGGATTTGATTAGACCTCCACTGCAGCTGAAAGACGTCATGCTTGCTTATAAAAATGGGAATCCAGTCAGCTCTCGTGTGTCTTTTTCAGTTATGGCCAACGAGGTTAGCTGGGAGACGGTACAAACAGTTGTACAGTTCTCCATCTTCTGTTGGACTGGGCCATCTTCCGAGCTCTAAAGGTTTTTGAGGATATTTCACGATAAGTTTGCATTCCGCGTTATAGGATTTCTTGCCAAAGGACTGTTTCTGTGTCCTCCTTCTTGAACCATCTCAGATAGAAATATCCATATAAATTCAACAATGTCAGCTCTTTGACCCTATTACACCGCTTTCATCACGAGTTTTTGAGACAGCACTAGACATCGCAATGACACGCGTCATCGTGTCAAGAGCGCTGCAGTGCTTTAGGACGGGAAAGCGGTCACAGGCGGATGTTGATTGGCACACGCCATTTGTGTTTTAGAAGAGTATAGCAGGAAAGGGAATTCCAGGCAATGCCGTCATCGCGAAGTGTGTATGGGGCTCCAGTCCTTCTCATTCTTGAGTACGAACCACAATCCTGAATCCTTCCTCAATTTCAGATGATACTCCCAACTGTGCTACTGTTGTTAGTGGCCGCAAATTGCTACCGTCTTTCACAAAAAGAGAATGAACTCTTGCAGAAAAGCTGCGGTGTGGCCAAGTTGGGTAAGTCTTTCAAGAGACGTATTTGTTCTTGACGTTATGGATTTCGCTTTTAATAATGGCAAACTGTACACTGATCGTTGAGGGCGTTCCTTTTGCGCGTGCAAGAAAGTGGGTCCGCACCTAGTACGGGATGTCCTTTTCCCGCTAAAACGTGGAGCACGGAAACGGAGCGGGAGGGTAGTGATACTAGGGCACCCTGCCATACGTTAACATCGCGGAAGGGCTTCCGGTCGGCGCACTCTCACTTATGATAGTCCGCTTCCCCTGAAATCAGCAGCAACAGAACTGTGATAAGGTTTATGCGCGACAAGGATCAACGCGGGACGGCAGCGGTGATTCTGAAGCCAATGCCATCGCGGAACTGCTTTCGCTATGCTGAAATACAAAAAGTATGCCTATCCAGAAAGTGTTCGATGACTTATGAGTGTAATCTGGGCCCATGTGAAGGAGGTCGCGTTTCTGGCGCTCCTGAGCCTATCACTCCCTCTGCCCATCAGTTGACATTAACTACAGATAGAAGACGTGTTCTGCAGGCATTTTGTGGGTTCTGGAAAGGGCTGTGGGGAGAAATAAGAAATACTCACTTCAACAGCTTGAAGCTTACAGTGCTCTTTCGATTCGCAGCAACATTTCGCGCTAAGTACTCTAGTTGTTGCAGAATTTGATGCCATTGAGAAGGGCAAATCCAGCAGTACCCAATATTTCCTAGACACCTCCACAATTACGAACGATGTCACGGCCTTCAGCAGACAAGGTGCTTTCTTCTCCCCGGAAAAATCCTAAGCAGCAGATTTTTTAAATATTTAATTTTTTTCATTTTTTTGTGGAAGGAAATCTTCTCACCTCCTACATGTTCTGTTTTTGTTGTGGGTCCTGCCCTATTTACGGAGGTATTTTTCAAAAGTGCCTGGAAACTCGCCTTCGAGATTTTCATCGTTTTTCTCGGATTCGTAACACCGCCGCTGGTACCACTTTGACTACTTTCTCTTGAAAGCTTCAAATGATCACCGACTCCGTCCACAGTTTTGCAAAATGCTTTTTCTGAGGGAATTTGCCATTTTTGGGAAATCGTCATGGTACAGTGACGTTTATGAATGGATAGCGCTAACGCTGTGACGAGAGGTGAAACAAAACCGCATTGGAAATAATAGCGTTTTGATTGTCAATTTAGATAAGTGGTCTTATAGGGAGGAAAGGGGAGTGAGTACTATGGACACCTTTTTTGTGTGCGTTGTGTGGCGACGGGGAGGGTTGCATCGACCAGCAATTTCATTTGATGTGATGTTTGACAGTTCGCAAAGCACGAGCTTCGTTTTTCACTTAATAATAGTGTACTAGTCTTATCAAGGTAAGACGTGTGATTTTTCAGAAATGAGCAAAGAAAACTAGCTCAAGTACGAAAGTTTCTCCTCTACCTCCGTCACCCTCCCCTCCCCCTCCCGCCCGAGCAAATCGGAGCCCAATTCCTCACGGTGGTAGACACAATGAGAAGTTGGTGGGGAGGTAAAAAAATCTTGAATCCTGAACATGCGCATAGGATTTGCGCCGAGAGATTATATTCATTCATCGTTCTGTGTAGTATGAAAACTTAACTTTTTCCAGTAGGGAGATCAAAACCAACAAAGAAATAAGGCGTGATTATCATGAGAAAAGAGATATTTCGGCTTCTGTGGCCGATCATGTGAACAAAACGAGCACCACGTGTTCAGGATCTTCTTCAACATTCAAATTATTTGGAGGGCGTCGTATTAAACTAGGCGAGTACCCCTGGATGGTCAACTATATATTGATAAAGATCTACCAACGTGAGCGTTTTCGTGTGGTTGCGGTGTCAAATATATAGTCTTTCACTTGAATGGGAAATATTTCAGATGCAGATTTGGAATTTGCACTGGATCCCTAATCTCACCACGTCACGTTCTTACGGCCGCACATTGTGCGACGAACCTAGACGAGCGTAAGATGTATAAGGGCGAATGCGATGGAATTTTGAAGAATTACGTGCTGTCAGAGAACAAGCCAGATGATTTCTCCGTATCCGTCGGCACCTATTGTGATCTTCGCGGTCGTCCTCCAAAGTGTCACACTTGGCCCCTTGTTTCAAAGGTTACTGCTAACAAGGGAACCCGGTCGATCCGGCCATTTGCAATGAGATGTATGTATGTGGACGTGTCTTGAGCCGCTGAATCCAAATCTGCCCTCGGAATTTGCGGAACGATTCTCTGAAGGGAGTTACGGACCATTTAATCTCTGCTCTGTTCGCACAAGTTGAGAACGATAACTGCCCACGGCAAGCGGCCGATGGCGTAGTGGATAGGCGCACTGCTTCAGAGACACAAGGTCGCATGTTGGATTCCTTGACTTTCGGAAATTTTTGCTTTTATTCAAAACACTTCATATGAGTCCCTAAAACGCTTCTGTTTGGCCAATTTACCTAGTTCTCTGATTTCCCTCAACGGATACGCCAGCTTCGGGCACAACATTACGACAGAACAAGAAAGCAACAACTGGCTTTTTCGTGCGGAATGCCACGTGTTGGTAGATCATAATCATGGGTGCTGACAGAACACCTGGACAGGATTTCGTTCAAAATTGAAAAAATTCATCACCGCTTTCCCTCTGAACTGTTGGAGAACTTAACTGTACCGTGTGTGGAGAGCACTTCTGGCACTATTCAACTATTACTACACCAAGGAGTCAAAATTTTTTCGCTGAAACTTTGCCCACAGGGGTAGTTCGGTGTCCTGATCACGAATATAGCACTCTTTACGGCGTTGGCGCCAATTTGGCGCTGCCGCATTTCTCACCAAATTCGACGTAAAGTTGCATAGTAGGGTTATTTGATGTCCTGATCACGAATACCGCATTAGTTCTCAGCGATGGCGCCATTTGACGCCAATATGGCGCCGGCGCCTGTAGCGCGGGCTCTAGGTGGTTTCAGACCGAGCGGATGTGATATTCGTGTTCAGGAGGTCGAATTACCCCTAGAACCCAACTTTCAGCCAAATCTGCCCCGTAGAAAAAAGTCGATCAGATCCGGCCTGTTTCCGGAAAATTGGGGTAGTAATAGTTGAATAGTGCCGTACTTTTGTATTCGCTGTGCTCATTGTGAGAGCTTGTTTTGTTTTCCACCATTTCGTGGAGGAATACCACATGTGCTCTCAAACCATAAGATCTTCATTTCTTACTGCAAGCTTTAATAAACGGATATCCTCATAATAAAACTTCTTGAAAGGAAACAGAAAAGGCGAGTTGCTTGCTCCTGATGTCAAATAATTAAAGAACTAGGTGAAATTGGCCAAACAGAAGTGTTTTAGGGACTCATATGTGTTTTGAATAAAAGCAAAAATTTCCGAAAGTCAAGGAATCCAACATGCGACCTTGTGTCTCTGAAGCAGTGCGCCTATCCACTACGCCATCGGCCGCTTGCCGCATGCAGTTATCGTTCTCAACTTGTGCGAACAGAGCAAAGATTAAATGGTCCGTAACTCCCTTCAGAGAATCGTTCCGCAAATTCGGAGGGCAGATTTGGATTCAGCGGCTCAAGACACGTCCATATATATACATCTCATTGCAAATGGCCGGATCGACCTGTTGGGGTTCCCTTGTAAGAATCCCTTTTGGAATGTGTTCAACACCTACTCTGCGTTACCTTTTCTCTTCTGTTCATCAGGTTTTTATCGACAAAAAATGGAAGCTGTGCGTGCAGAAAATGCGGAAAGGGAAGGTGGTTGATTGGATTCATACACACGATCTTGCAATCCTCGAACTCAGCTAATGAAATCAGCAACAAGGATGCTATTCCGATTTGCTTACCACACCAATAAACTTCCACTGGCAAAAGAACTTCAGGTCGCGGGGAAAGGACGGGAAAGATGTAAGTTTACAATAGTTGGCTGTAGGGAATGTTGACAATTTTTCCAGTGACTCCCATTCTTGCACTTCAATTTACGACCCGAAAATTGTCGAAAGAATTCTGAGACATGGGCAAAACGGGAAAGGGCGATACACCCATTTCTGTCTAAATGGGAGACGGGTGATTCCAGCACAGGTACAATAGCCCAGTCAGGACATCAACGTTGGAAAAACAACCAAGGAATGTGATGGTTGATTGCCCGAAAACCTCCGACTTTATATGGGACCAATTTGTTGGTATTAAAGAAGTCTGTTGAGGGACGTCGAATTATACCAACTACAAAATTGGTACTAATTCCATTC